GATAATTATTGTTCCAGTATTGTGCTCTAAGAGAGTTACTTTATTTTAAATACTATATTTATTGTTATAAAGTTGTAAACATTTCCCTGAAATCTACAACTTGTTACGCTTTTGTCAGTATATTTCTAAGTAAAAACTATTTATTGTAATTAACATATTGATGAAGCCTAAAAAATGATAAATAAAAACTGACATCCAATTCTGAACAGAAAACTTGATCACCAACAACTGTTTAAGAGAAACGAACACTAGTGATCAGGAAAACTGCAACAATGGAACTGCATCTATAACAAGTAAAATTGCAAGTTCAACAATAACAAATAAACAGAACAATAAACATGAACTTTTATGTTTCCTTCATTTTAGTATCAATTATTTAACATCAAATTACACAGGAAATAGACAAAATTTTAATATTGCATTTGTTCTTGAATTATGTAATTATAGAATTTTGTAAAATGTTATGTTTCGCCTAGACTTAAAAATGGAGGATGGACAACATTCATCAAATTGTAAAAAAAAAAACATATTTGGTTTCAAGTGACGTGTCATATTCTTGTTATTTGTTTGTATAGATAACATTTTAAAGATTTGAGGAAAATGAACAGTCGCTTCAAATTAAACCTGAAACATTGACAATATACTTTCTCCCTTCATTGATGATAGCATATGTAGCATGTACACGATGATCAAGGGATTCTGAATTGCCATAATATAAAGACTTAGGTGCACGGAGTGTTATTTCCCTGTTACCATGTTCACACTGCTGGCTTGAACCCAGGTCAGCATACTGTGCGGCATTTAATAAAAGAGTTTGAAAAAACACTTCAAGTCTTGATCGAAGGTTTTCATCTTTCAAAGGGATCTTATATGGCAGGCTTCTGTGGGAGTACTTCTAACCAGGCTTTCTTTTATATCCACAAAATCTGGACTGATCCCCAAACTGATGTAGAATAACTGCCTTTAGATTGTCCTCCATTCCAACTGAATCACCTAGGTTTTTGGAAAATACATATTTCAGGCATTTCTGAATGTGAATAATAACCTGTTTGCTCAACGTAATTCCTTTCTCTGAAGCCAATTGATATAATCGCTTTCCAACATTTTTCACGATGTGATTTTTTATCAAAACGTTTCTTCAGTGTTAAATTTAAGACGAGCTATTAGTGTGTTGTCCCCATCACCTTCGAGGTATTCTACAGGTGTACCTTGTTCTATGAGTTATTTAACACCCTGCTCGCCACTTACACTTTTCATGAGTTTGACACTTCCACTGTGTGTATGAACACACCTATGTTTTCTTACTTGTTGACCCAATCTATTACGTTTCCCCCATTTACATTTTCCACACGTACGGTGGCTTACTTTTGTCTTTAAAACTTTCGATCCATACTTTGCTTTTCCCATGAAGAAAGTGTGGGCTGCATGATAAAATTCAGCAAATATATTATGAGTTCATCTAACTTAATTAAGAAATCAAGATATATTGTAAAAAAAACAACAACAAAAAACACACATACACACCAAACTAACAAGATAGTGTGCATACTGTGGAAATGACAGCCAGGTCAGAGCTCAAAGTGAAAACAAGAGTAATTCAAATAACCATAAGAATTGTTTTTCCTAAATGCCACAGTTTGAAAGAACTATAATGACTAACCAGTCTTACTTTTATGGAGACGGCCCACTGAATTTTCGTACTATATATCATATATTAAATCCATCAAATTTAAGGCTTAATTCTGGACAAAGCATACTCGGTACCGGAACTTCATGGCCATTTCTTTAAACACAAATGCAGTCCAAGTAAATTGAGCACAAAAAATACATTAGCACTTGGAGTTTTTCTGCAGCTTTTAATTTCTTTAATCACTATAGAATATTCCAAAGAGTAACTGATGTGTATTCTTGTGCATAGTGCCTCTTGAAACCCTCCAACCAGAAATGAAATCCTGCAAAATACATTTAAACAACCTTTAAAGTACTCAGAACTGAAACTCCATGTTCACAATTATTAAAGATATACTTAAAATATGACCAGTATCAATTGTGATGACTTGAAATAGACCATTTTAAAATTTAAAAGAACTACAAACAAGACTACAAAGGCTGTGTATAATTCCGTACCGGGGTAACACCTTCTGCAAAAGTCACTTTTCAATTATAAATCAATATCAGTGGTTAAAACATACACATATACTTTTCTAACAGTTTCTAAATTATTACTGACATGGTAACTGAAAAAGAAAATCATTTGTTTTACTTACATGTTAAACTGTCAAATCTTCTTTTGTGCCAGGCACATACCACTGGGAGTTTTACAGGGACATTTCGGGACTCTGCTACTAAGGCACTATACTTCTTAAGCCGTTATGACAGTACATTGTATTTTCTGTTAACTGTCTATTAAAAGTAACAGAAGAAAAATTTATACACTAAATGGTTCATTGTGTCAATATAAAATATTATGTATAAACTGAGTGCTCCGGGTGGCGTTACTATGACAACGTGTTGCATGTCGTAGCCTGGAACCCCGTTGTATCGATCTATTTACCCATAAATCACAACTGCAGTTAAAAAATTTAAATTTCCCTGAATCTTTATTTTGTATAATTTATTTTGATTCTTTTGTCATAAATATTACATGGCAAACATCACTGATATAAAGTTTTAGCTTTGGAATATACGGATATTTACAGACATGTCAAACAGGTTGAAGAATTAGGTCACGCCATTATATCGATGCATTGTGAGAATCGCTCAGTTAATCAAAGTTTTGGAAGTCTGACCCATCTTTATGCTAGATTTTTCAGTCAATTAGAATCAAAGATGTCTGTTTTAAAATGTCAGCATAAATTTAGGGACTTTCAACAGACAGTAAATGTGTTTTTCATAAGAACACACTATTTATAAGTCTATTTATCATCTACAAAGTCTGACGGTACTGGAAATATGTTTTTGACGTTTTTTACGGCACAAAACAAATGCGAAAGATTTTCGTGACACTGTTGTAAATATTAGCAATCAGTAGCTAGTTCATTTTCAAAAAAATCTAAAGATTTGTAAATAGATCGATACAATGAATAGCACGATACAATGGGGTTTCACTATATTCGGTATGATTATTGTTATTAATGTAAATATGTTTCAAGACAATATTTTATAACCTAAGTATGTAGTTTCGTAACGGTGAATTATACGTTAAAATATCTTTAAAAAAGATAAAAATAAATAAATAAATAAGAAGATAAATAAATAAAATGAAAATCAATTCAGTGGCTAAAACGATAAGTAAATGTACCAATATTTTTTATTGTACACCAAATTGGAAGCATACGGTTGCTGAGACATTTTACTTTTTCATCAAAAATATTTCTACTATATTTTTACTAGCTTCCTAGAACTTGTAGTTTGACATTTTGTTTAGGTATATAGAAAATGAAAATAAATAGTGTTTTAATAAGTTTAATGTACATTTCTATTTGACAAAACACAATACTTACCTTCAAAACGGAAATCAGGTTGTCTTTCTCACAAAAGATCTAAAGAAGTAAACTAATTCCTGCAAAAAATGTAATGCTGGTTTAAGTATAATGTCGTAGCAGCTGTATGTGCACATTCATTTCTTTTAATTTAAAGTCTATAAACAAGCAATTCCTGTAAAAACAGTTATTTGGATGCATTTCAAAAATCTTGCTTATAGAAAAGTATACACAGTAGTGATGACGGAAGTTACCGATATATTTATGTTGTTCTTTTTTTCTTGTGAACTATATATCTAAATGGTCAATATTTTACATTATTATATATTTCTTCCTTGTATATACATTTAATTTTATATCTGCCAAACAAATGATCAACTAAGAAACATAATAAAAGTTCATAAACAGCAATTAAGGGACCTACCAATAACACACACTATTTTGAGTACATATTTAGTTGTTTGTTGAGAAAGTGTACTCATTAATTTTCGGTATAAGTGTTTTATTCGCAAAAAAAAATATTGATGTGTTTAATGATGACGTTTTAAGTTGCATACACATGTGTATGTCTAAATGTATGATTAAATTTACATAACGATTCTTCTGACAAACTTATATTCAATAGTAAACATTAATTTGCAAATGGATATTCTATTGATTCTTACATCTATATCATATTTATATTTTAACATGATAAACAGACCAACGTGGAAGCAAAATAATTGATTAAATCTGGTTATCAATCCATTCTGCTTATTATTCTATATCAATTATTCACATCCAATAGCTGCTTTTAAATTATTACACGAGACCAATATATTCTTATATTGGTGGTGTTGGTAGTTTTCACTCTAGATCAAGGCAGAAAGTCACATTGAATTCATCACAGCTCAGTTCAGCCACCGCATTGTTCCTGGGCAGGCTATTTCGCTAGTAAGTGATAACTTCAGTACACGCCAGAGCAAATGTACAGTTTGAATAACCGTCGAAAGGATTGTATGACCAATCCCAACGAAAGTGAACTGGATCGTCATGGAATCAAACCCGTGCCGCCCGATGCACAATCCAACGCTCTACATATTAAGCTAACCGAACTATATTGATCCCTATATTGGGCACTGTAGCGCCCAATATAATTATCCTATATATGACAGTTAAGCTTGTTTGCCTTTTTCATGTAACATCAACGATAAAAGCCGTTAACAACAAAAGTATCAGAATGCATAGTATTTATGTTGCAGGCTGCATCTTCTATTTGTTCATTTTTAATACTATAATAATAAAATAAAAATTCTAGTTGTCTTTCCAAAGTTGTATAGAGCAAAATAAGACATTTTTTTTAATCTAACGAAAAAATGTCGACAATAATATATTATGAGACCGTCTTCGGACAATTTGTTTTTTAAGTATGGTTATCAATGAATCAACAATCCAAATGTGTGTCTTATAATTTAGTTATCACCTAAGTACATTTTATTATGTGTTGATATATGCTAATGCAAATAATCATTCAAACTTTAAGAAAGAGAGAGCAAGAGAGGGGGAGATAGGGAGAGCGTGTGTGATAGATTGTCGCAAAAATATCTTTAAGTATGCTTATATTACGTTAACAGTGAACAGTTGACACCGTGCATTAACGCAAACATGTAGTGATAGGACATAGGATTCATTTACACTGCGTAATGACGAAGCTCGCACTGTAAGTTATTATCTTTCTATTTTATTTTCCTTTTAAATTTAGCATTCATTTTCCATAGAAGATTTTAATTGCAATAAGATTTTGATTGAAGGCGCACTGTGTTGATTTTCTTGTTATTAATATTAATAGATGCTTTATTGAGTTGTAAAAAATAATGAAATGTTGCATCTTAAAGTTAAATATGTAAAGTAGGTCAAGATCTTAAGCTTACTTCCCGTTATATACAAAGACGATAATTTTTATAACCTCAGTATTTTAGTGAAATGTTAACGGGTCTGACAGGAGGTTTCACAAAGCTAACCCACTTTCAAAATCATTTCTTTAACCACAAGATTAATGGTTGATATAAGCGACAACTTACAACTTGTATTTTTAATTCGATGTGACTAGAGAATAAGAAATTCCAAGGAAACATGTATGTTCATTGTTCATTTGCGTAAATTATGTTTTGGGGTAATTTGTGCTTTATGATTTGACCAGGATTCGAACCCGCAAACTCCGTTTACTTATTTAACTCATACACATACATATGCCCCAGCCTGATTTCATCAGTAGAAATAACACGGATAAAAATATAACTTTTATGAAGAATAATGTTGATGGCGTCATGACTAGATATCGATCAACACAGAAATGCGTCGTTTCAATTGATTTATTGTATTTCTTATCAAGAGACCTTTTGTACAATAGTGAAAAAAGCTATAGAATACCATCTAATATACATTATTCTTATTATCTGACATCTTTTAGAAATAAGTATAAAAACATATCTTGCAGATCAAATAAATATCTTCATGACTCTGTCATTATGTCTAATGATATAATACTTAATCAATTTGCAAATAAATTTTTTATATATGATATTTAATATCTTAAAGGAGCGTTTGTCCAAAAAAGAAAGTTATAGGTTAACATCTTAAGGGAAAAGTTGTTATTGTTTTATGATGCTTTGTGTTTGTTTTTCAATATAATGTATAATGTGTTACAAATAATGGAGAGAAACTAATTCTACATTATTTTCATTATTGAACATATGGAAATAATATTGTGGCAAATTGTCTTTTGCTACGATCATGATCATCAACGCTTAATATTGACTAAAAGAGAAAAAATAGTGCAAGAGAACAAAATTAAATACATTTAAAACATATTGTTAAAAAGTCCTGAAATTCAATATGGAGTTGATATAAGAACTATTTCCCGGGGAATATATCCTTAGAGGATGATATTCAACCAGAACACATATTGAGTGTTTTAAAGTGAAGGATATATTTAAGTATAATAAAAGTAAATAAAATATGTAAGATAATCAAAATGGGCATACACAAACACCATAAATTACATTTTTATTACGAAAACAGGAAAATAACCACTCAGCCACGGACGCTGCTTATGTAGATTACATAGTTAATATTTTCATTGTTTTGATGTGTTTACCTTAGTTAACACCTGTTTTACTTTACTTTCAGAAATGAGTGGAAATACGTGATTGGTATTGCAATATTAGCCACACTGCTGATGGCATATATGTTCACAGATACTTTAAAATACAACTTCCATATTCGATTACTTCCGGCAGTAGCGGTAAAATGGAAACCAGAATTGAAGTAAGACATTAGAATCTTACGAGAAAATGTCATTTAAAGTTATAATTCATACATGCAATGATGATATTATTTTACGCCGCTTCACCTATAAAGCAAAGACACTTAATGCTTAAACACCTGTTTCCCTGTTCTAATATCTTTAGCGAGCGTTGCTGGTTGATAAATACTAGAGCTCATTTATTAAGATCTGTCAAATTTTACATTATAAAAAGGAAATGACAGCTTGTCAGTGTAAAAGCGAGACTGACAGACAAGGGCAAATATAAATATGCGCTACCCCCTTAAGTGGACCCCAAACAAAAAAGAGTATATTTCCGTGGCACATTATATGACGTCGCGTCTATGAGTTTTAGATACTACTTATCAAATGTTATCCCAAATTTGTTCTTTTATCTCAATGACATTATGAGAAGTTGTTCTTGTTTGTAGTTTAAAGCGTTTCTCTTATGACGTGAGTGACCCACGCGATGCAAGGTTTTATAACATTATACTGGAGGAAGAAGCTCTCAAAATAAAACCATGCACGGATGAAAATCTGTCGGCATCGGTAAAGCATACGTCTCTGTCTTTTATAGGTGCGTACTATTTCGAATAAATCATCAATTTACGATTTTAATTTGCAAAAGGTAAAGACAGTCCGAGCTATATGATCAGTATATTATACACCTTTTATTGAATATAAATAATAACGACCAAAATGGAATGGTGATTTAAATCACTTCGTTGTTGCTGTGTCGTTTGGTTGAGAATCATTTAATAATCATCGTATGAACTTGTTTTCTTAAACTGATCCTAAGGATGGCAGGTCTTTGGTATGGTCGATCAGACTTCTTGAATATTAGATTATTTCAAAATTGTCATGCAAATTTCTCTGTATTTATTTATTGAAATATTAATAAGATATGAAAGTACACTTGAAGTCAAACCGTCTTTATACGTTAAAATATTACTTTAAATTTTAAATAAGAATAAACTGGGAATAAAGTTGAATTGGACGTCTATAAAAATCTAAATTGTACATGTATTTAACAACTTTGTAGAATATAAAGACCAACCATACAATATTGGTGATGGAATCACCATTCTTGTTACAATGAAGGATGGATATGGTAAACGAATAATTTTTGGAGGAGATCATTTGAGAGCAACGATTGAGAACAAAGAATTGCAAGCATCCGCCCCCTGTATGGTCACCGACAATATGAATGGTACTCATTCTGTAATATGTGAGGCATTTTGGTCAGGAATGTCTTCAATAATCGTAGTTCTTGCTTATCCAAGAGAAATAATTGCGACAAATTACCGTATAAGGACTCAGGTAGGTGTCTAATAGTAGCAATATGATATTTTTGAAGTAGGAGAATGGTAATAGTCAGCGCCCGTTTTTCAATCCCGCATTTATGTCCGGTGTGATACTCGAAAAGCATAAGATATAAAAACTGAAAACTTCATGGGTGAATAAATATCATTAAGGGAGAGTGCAGTGTATAAGAATAATATCTTTTTTCTTCGGAAATCTTCAGTGATTAACCATTTGATTAAAAAAAAAATATAATTGTCAGATGCATTACTCAAAAAGTATTTAAGATATCAACTTAAAACTACAATGGCAAATATATTTTATTAAGAATAGGTGCAATTCACAAGCAAATATAATAATTCTACCGTTCATAGTTTTTTAGTTAATGTCCTTTTTATTTTGCATTATTTATATATGCACGGATTATAACTTTCTAATCATATGTCATAAAACAAGAATAAACACAGTGTGTTGATCATTTTTTAATTTCAGTTTCATAGGTGATGTTACAAAATTATGGAATTCATGTTCGTATTTTGAAATTTTACACATTTCTATGTAAAATGTTATTATATTTCTTCGACTGTATATGTAAACATAAAACAAGAACAGAACAGAACAGAATATTTCTTTTGACTTAAGCATATACAGCTTATCATCAATCATGAAAATATGATACATGTACATTCATTCGCAGGCAAATGAAAATAGCAAAACAGGTTGTCAGTTGCATAGAAGAAAAATAATATACAATGTAATCAGTAAGCATAAAATCAAATTGGCAAATATATATTACACACAACAAGGCATAAACATGAATGGAATTGAGAATAAAAATATGCGGATGATGCAACCTTTCTAACTGATGGGTCAAAAGAATCTTTCGAAACAAAATTAAACTAAAAGAAATATCACATCTTAAAAGAAGGATCTCTAAGTCACTCCAAAACTAAACACTGCCGAAATCGAAATTTCCAATGGACTTCTGACAGTGCAAAATCTGTACATGATATTTTGTACAAACTCTCTAATGACGTAATTAATCCACTTGATATTTGGATAATATATTTTTCTTTTGCTGAAGGAAGTTTCTCGGGAGTCGGGGGTTGAAGTGGCGGGGCGGCTTAAGTATTGACGAGAGAGCAGAGTAACAGGACTGCCAGTCGCAATATACTTTTTATTTCTTTGAATTATTTTTTAAAATAGTATACTATCGCACGATTTTTTTGAAAAGCAAGATTGCATTCGTGAAAACTGCTATGCCACCGCATTAAAACAACACTAAATGGTAGTGTTAGGACAGAATATATATATATTTTTTTTTTGTTTCTATACAATTGAACTTTGCCATAATGTAGTTGAATCTAGTGACTTTGGTGGTCATGGTCATATTTCAGCCTGTCAAATGAAAGACAATATGCAGATGTGTCTAATGTTCAGTTACAAAGGCCATAATTATTGCAAAAATTGATTCAAAGTAAAAGTATTCCTACTTGGCAAAAATTTAGGTATTTACTGTATTGCATATATAACTGTATTAATCTTCGAAATACACATAATTATTTTTTCAATAAAGCATTACATATTTCTCCAAAATAATAATAATAATAAAAAATACAATTCAAAATCATCATTAAATACATGGTTTGAATCATTATGCTCAAAATATTTCATTATTACCCTTGCAAAGTTAAAATCTCTCTTGCTAGATGTCATGACATCTAATTATTTCATAAAATTTTCTTAAAAGCAACCATTTCTCTTTCTAGAGGTCATGTCCTTTACACTAACTTCAGCTCTGTCTTTGTAAAATTTAAAATGTTTCAACTACAATTCCTGAAAATCATCAACGAAAGTGCACTAAGCTTAAGATTTTAAGCTCCGCTGTGTATTGGACTGATTTTATTACAATTGTTTCAATGCATAATACTTTATATATACATCCTCCGTAAATGATGCCTCTATTAAAGATATTCGCGTACATGTTTGTAACAAGCAACATGTGCAAGCATGTCTAGTTTTTCCTAGTAAGATTTACATGTTTTTCCAACAAAATGCTCATAAGTGAGTGAGGCGTAAAAACACTTTAAGAAGTATTTATCGAGGCACTTTATGCTTGAACGTATTAATAGACAAATAAAATACAAACCCTGAAAATAAAGTATTAATTTAAAGAAATATATGCATGTAACCTGTGCAAAATGTCTTAAAAATAAGACGGAGAAAGATTCAATTTTCATCACTTTTCTGCTACAAGTACAAATGTTGCTGCAATGCAGCAATTGGGAAGCTTCGCGCAAAAAAATGCGCTCATTATACATACCTTACCAAATTATTCCTACGCACAGGCCATGTTATATTCAGACTAAGTACCATTGTACATTATTGTGGATGTTGTGTAAATCTTTTCTTTTTGCATAATTATACTTATTGTTTGAGAGGGGCCAGGTATCAAATTAAAAAAATGCTTTCACTGATGTATGCCTGGTAAGGAAAGTAATTCCAATACAAACAAGACTTACAAGACTTGTAAATGTAATGTGACATGACAGTAGTGCAACATTGTTCTGTTAGTGTTACTACTGTAGTCAATAATAATAGATGATAACAAATATCAAAGCATGTACATTTCATTTTCCCCTATAATGGTACTCATTTTCTATAAATATCAACAACAAATCATTGTAAGAGTAATAATATCTGTCATATGCTGCGGTTCGGACCGGAATGTCCGTCCCGAGGGGACCCTGACATGGGCGGATTCCCGAGAGACGAATATTCTGATCCGAACCGCAATCATATGTCAGATATTTGTCTTGCATATTCTGCAATATTATTTCATATCTAAAATGGTTTACCTAAATAAGATATTTGTTTTATGGAAATTAATGAAATTTCATCCATAACTGTTTTCTTACAATAGCGTATGAATTTACAAAATTAATAACAACGTCGAAATGACGTCATCCATTATTATTCATTAAAGGGGCTAAAATGACGTTGTTGTATCGCACGCGACTCATCTGGCACCCCCATGCCAGATGAAATTTCCGGCAAAGGTAAAACTCAAGAAAACGACAGTCTGATATGCAAGAAATATAAAAATCCTTATATAAATAAACCAAAACAAAAACTTTAATCAACTTTTGTTTCAATATGTCCTTACATATATCGTGGCAAATGATATATCATGATATAACAAGAAAAGCATTGACGCAAAGCATCAAAAGGAGTCTAAGCAAGAAATGCAGGAAATGAGGATGAACAAGTAGACATCTGATATCTAGATATTCTTATAAAGTTTTCAATGGTTAATTGGATTTTACCAGAATTTTATATCGTAGATAATTGGGAGGACAAAATACCTTATTACCTGATACCTTATATCAATTTATTTTGGTATTTTTTACTGTTTTCTGAAATTCCTAAAACGTCTACGTTCGCGAACTTTTGACCGGTCAATAGTTTCGACTGTTTCCCTAGCGTGCTCTGACGTCATAGAGGATACCCCCTTGGAGCGTCATAAACCTGACGTGACGTGACGTAGTTAAAAAAGATTGTTAGATTCGAAAAGTTTAAATTATTTAAAATACTGAAAGTAGAACACACACTGGAATGAACAAATAGGATGAATTTCAAAAATACCAAATTCAGGATTTTTTGTTTGTTATACACGTTATATCGTGAAACATTATTTATCAATATAATGGAAGACTGTTACCTGAGTTTTAGATAGGTATGAGGAAATTCAGTAATATTATGTTCGTGCGAGTCAAAGAAATAAAAGCTACTTGACATTGGTAATAAATAAAGAGCTATTGTTAATAATTTTATTGGGAGGAGATTTACGCTCCCTTCGCAGCTTACTGAATACACTCCCGTTACTTCAGACCGCTGCTGTAATACCCGTCGATTCGTGATATTGACCTTTACAGTGAACTTTGAACGACCAATGAAAGTTTTCCAAATTCCAAATCGCCCTAAAACCTATACGCATTTTCATTGGTTGAAACAGATGACGTGTGTGCAACATTATAAATAGACGGGTATTTTCCAATAATTTTATAAACAAAATGGCGACTGTTAACAACTCAACTTTCGATAAGCTTTCAAAACGGTTCAATTATGGATTTATTAAACCCTTTCAAAAGGCAGTGATATAATCAATCATTGAGCAGAACAATAACACATTTGTATGTGCAAAGACAGGATCGGGAAAGTCCCTGTGTTTTCAAGGGTTAGCATATTTATGTAGCGAACTTTGTGTGAAGGAAAACCCAATTGTTTTGGTAACTTCGCCGTTAATTTCACTGATGGAGACACAAGTCCAGGAATTATTAGATAGACAGATTTCTGCCACATACATTGGGAAGGATTCCAGCGAAAATGGTGATATTCGTAGAGGAAAATATTCGTATGTCTACTCTAACCCAGAATATGTAACATCGGGTGTGTGGAGAGATATGCTGAGGAATTCCATTTACAGAAAAAATCTAGTCTGTATTGTGTTTGACGAAGTACGCACTGCTGTGTCATGGTATGTTTTCTTTATTCATTGTTCTTTTGACAAGTAAGAAACATGCTTTTCATTAAATTCTACCATAATTTGATGTCAAATTTTGGTCAAAGGGTGTGAATCGGTGTTCGAAATTAGCAGTACTTAGCCCCTAACTTCTCAATTTTTCCCAATTTTTCCTGGGGCTACCAACTTTTCAAAGTAACAAGCCCGACCAGGCAACTGTATTTTCAGAGGCAATATCTTTTCGGAAGTGGCTAGCCATACGGCTAGACAATACAGTGTGCTAGTCATACATAACAACATACGGCTATAACTTTTATCTAGCCGTACGGCTAGCCACTTTATATCTTATTTTCTATTTGTTGAAAGCTTTATATTGTTAAAAAGCTTTTGCATCAACTAGGCAGGTGTCAACTCAGCCCAGTATTATCATGTTAATTTGTATCATTTTTATCTCAACATTTATTTCATTTATAGAAACAATACTGATATATTGTTGATATTTTTCTCCAAATTTCTGTCTATCAATTATGGATACTGTATCGACACATTAAAAAATTATGATTTTGACATAATAATTAAATGTCAAGAAATTAGGAAAATTCACCCAAAAAAGGTGACCATGTCTAACAATATCTGTTAATTGTTACAAGTGCTACATCATCTGTACATGTCATAGGGTGAGAAAAATGCAGTCTGACCCTGGACCCTCTACCAACTGAAATATCCTGCTGCGTTCACATTTTCTCAGTGCAGCTGGAAACAGTTCTGAAACATGATATACATGATTGTACTCCTCAGTTTTTGAAGTTTTTCTCATGTTACAGAGCAATGTGAATTAAATTCTGGGATATAAGCATTCAATGCACCAAAAGTCACAGGTTGAGAAAAAATAGATGGCCGGGACTCGAACCAGGGACCTTTGAAACATGTTGCCAGCGCCCTACCAATAGTCCTGTCCATCTGCTCACACATTTTCTCTCCTGAACAGTGAACATTTCTGAACTTTGACATTTATTTACTTGCTTTAAAGGCACATTATGCGTCAGAAATGCTATCATTTTTATTTCTCAAAATTTTAAATATTTGGTGTCTTCTTACAAGTTCCTCAAAAAATACTTATTTGCCATATAAATGAACTATCTTTGCATCTTTTGCTTTGCTGGCAATTGATATAATTATAATGAATTAGTATTTTGTATGGAAGTCAAAATATTATTTGTTTACATTTTGCTACCTTGACGACACATTACAATCAGCACTACTTTCTTCAGCTGTTAAATATCGTAATGTTCTAAATCCATTACTTAAACATTATTAAACATATGTTTTACATTTCTAAAAAATTTTTAAAAAAGGATTTCTGAGGCATAATGTGCCTTTAAAACTAAATATTATCTTAATATGAATAAATAAATATATATGTGATATATAGAATATAATGAATAAGTACAAACTGCTGATCATTTTGCAAAATAAAACATATTAAAGCAAGCTTTAAAAGATACATTTTTATACATAAATATACATATTACACTTATTCATGTGATGTCAACCTGGATGTTGTGGTCACCTGTTCATAATTTTGTTTAGCTCAATTCCCTTACTGGTCACTACAGACAGGTTTGACTGTAAGTTAATATTAGTACAGGACATATAAATGTTTGTATAGAGTGTTTTTTGTCTGTGGCTTCCTGAAGAGAAAAATATAGCAGGATAAAAGGGAAATCCTGAAATCAAAGTCTTACATCTGAGATCAAGATAATTAATTTACACACTAATTTTATAAAATTTTCATTTCAATTTAACATGCATGGCACATAGCCGAGACTATCTTACAAGTTATATATAGGGACAGCTTTCAGTAAGATGTACATGTATGACTTTCTGTTATAAGTCAGCTGCTGTTATGGAGAAGGCTGTACACAGTGCATTTCTGGGGAAATAGCATTTTTATGGGATAATATATATCAAAATATACCAGTAACCTATTTTGGACTTTGGGAAATAACCTTTATTTAAATATTGGGGAAAATCACTGATCAGTATAAAATAATCTTATGATGTACATGTGTATATAATATTGTCATAATGTAATTTGTCTAGGAGTGAATGGGAAAACTTCTTTCTAATTACTTATACTATGAATATGTCATAAATTGGAAGATATGCATTTCAAATTGAATGTGCTGGTAGTTTTAAACAATGGTTTGCAAGTTTTAAATGGCTAACCTTTTTACCTCTGCATTTCCATTAATGTTTTTAAACTTTGGCATTAGGAATAAGATGGTCATACCTTAACTGATAAAATCAAAGAAAAATATACATTCAGAGCCTATGTATCACCTCAGGCTTCTGATACAGAACCGTTTGTATATACAAACATGAATGAAATGGTGAGTTTGTATATAACCATTTCCATATCTCAAGGCAATGTCTTTCTTAGAGGATAACTAATAACAATTTGTAAAAGTGAACTGATAATGGGTATCCTACTTTTTTGATGGATTAGGATACAGCTGTGTTGTGTGTCATGGGCCATATTTAAACAATAACTTTAAAAAAGTTACATTATTTTTTTGTTTTGCCTGGCAAATTTATTTCTGCATAATAGTGCATCGCATGTGTTAAACAAGTCAATAGCTGGAAGGTTATACATATAGGAGTAAAGGAGTAACACCTACAAAAACTGTATTGTCATAAAATCCATAGGTCAAATATGTATATGAGCCGTGTCACGACAAAACCAACATAATGGGTTTGAGACCAGCATGGATCCAGACCAGACTGCGGCTCATAAATTATATATATGTTGTATGCATTCTGTATGGAGATACATTATTGAAACATCTGGATGTCTGAAGTATGGGGCCATACTGTAGTTTCAGAGACTTTAAATTACTTATTTATTATTACTTCATGACTTTAGTACACATTTTTGATTGAATGATTTAATGTATGTTATTTATGAGATCTTGTCACTGTCACTATTACAAATGTATGGTATTTTTTAAACATCTTTAAATCAGATAAATTTGTCATTGATTCAGTCCAGTCTGACACATGTCAACAATTATAACTGTATCAACAATATATTGAGTATTATTATGCCCCATCATATATATATGTATTTTTTTTTTTGGGGGGGGGGGGTGGTATTGTAATCTGTCTGGTCTGGTCTAATTTCAGAGATCATTACATAGAGGATATTCAAGTTTTTTCTATAAATACATGATTTATTTTCATCGAGTGGTATGAAAATAAATATTTCATGAGTGGCGGTAGCCACGAGTGAAATATGGTAATTTTCATGCCACAAGATGAAAATAAATCATGTATTTATAGAAAAAACTTGAATTTTCTGTTTATTATATACATATTACTCTTTTTTGACATTAAAATTTGAAAGACTTTCCCTTAAATTTTGTGTACAGGCAGAATTTAAAAGAAAGTAGTCCGGCAAGACACCAGTGAAAATACGGAAAATATGTTTCACTGCAGTGAAAAATAAATTTTTACAGTGAAAATACGGAAAATGAAAATACACATTTTATTTCATCAATATTTCTCAATATTTCATTTGTAAGTATATAATAAAGATATTTATTTTATATATGTCATGTTTAAACAGTTTTATATTAACAACAATAGGAAAATGCAGCTTGACATAATTTTGCCCCTTTTTAAAACAGAAAATTTCCAATTCTTGAATGTCACCGGAACCAATATTGATATGAACTTCAAAATTTCATTGCAGCATTGCAGTGTTATTTTAGCATGGATAACTGGATAAAGCTATAATACAATATCATAAAAAAAAATTCACACCTGCGGGTCAGCGCAAAACCTGTGTCTGGAGCGTAACTTCTACAAGAGTGGGGGGATTTTAATATAAGTTGGGAAAAATATTTTCAATAGAATGGTGGAGTGTCTGCTGCAAATGTCAAGGTCACACTAGGGGTCAAAGTTCAAATAACAAGAAAGAAACACATTAATTTACTAGTATAACTTAATATATATACATGTACATGTATGTATACATGGATGGATTTTAATATAGCTTAGTACAAATGTTATCCTTGTTAAGTAGAGTTGTCTCGTGCAAAATGAAGGTAAAGGTCACATGAAGTCAAAGGTCAAATATAAATATAAAAAAAATTCTGGTCTGTATCTTGCTCATTCTTTGAAAGATTACAAAAATAATTTGATACAAATGTTCACCATGATGGGATGGTGTGTCTTACACAAAACATTGGCCAATAAATTTAAGAAATAAGTCTATTCCTGAACGTTATATTTCACGCTCTTCGTTATTAAATAATTTTAACCATTTATAAGCAGCATTAAATACAAAGCAATAAAGAATGAGCAATTTTGAATAATGTAATACCCAAGATTTTGGAATAAAAATAACATTCACTAAATACATGTAGCCAATTTGCTACAATATTGGCTGATGTTAGAATTTTTTGGCACGAAAACATTGTGAATATACATGTATGCTTTCACATTTTTTTACTATGTTTTGTCATCACTTCTATGAAACTTGTAAATTGACAAAAAGTCCATTCAGCAATGACGGAATAGTTTTAAACATGTTCTTTTTACAAGGCTTGCTTCAGTTAATTTTTCTATTTAAATGAAATTATATGTTAACATTTTATTGATTTGTAAAAAAAAAAATTTTTGATAATAAATTGACAATGAAAATTAAAAAAACAACATTATTTTATTTTTATCGATGGTAGCTCCTACTTTAAATGGCACTGTTGGGAAGTGGTCGTGCCACCATGTACTTCTACTGAAATAATTAATTTGACTGGATTAGAAAATATGTTTGAATTTAGTAACCAATTGTAACATTTTATACAGTACTGTTTCATTTTACAGGGGCTTAGACAAAACAGATGAAGAGGCATTTCGCCCAGAGTTTGCAAGGGTTGGAGAACTCCGATCTATGATATCAAATATTCCTATGCTGGCACTGACTGCCACAACAAATCCACCGGTTCGAGCGAAAATACAACGTTTGCTTGCTATGAAAACACCACTTGAGATAGTTGAATCCCAATACAGAGAAAACATTATAATATCAGTGATTAAAGTACCAGTGCAACTAGAAGCAGCATTCAAGTGGATTGTTGATTTGATGAACAGAGATCAAAAAAAATTGTATGAAAGTTATTTTTTACTGTAAGATAATTCAAGATTGTTCAAAATTGTACATGTACTTTACAGATGAAGTCAAGGATAGAGAATTGTTTGACATGTATCATTCAAGAACTACTGATAAGGTAAAATTCAAATTCTTTCCACAATTAAAGAGCCAAGCAGCACTCTACGGATCATCATAGCTACAAAAGCTGTTGGAATGGGGTTAAACTTTCAATCAAACCATGTCATACATTATGGACCACCATCCGAATATGATGCATACCTTCAGCAGATTGGTAGAGTTGGCCGTGACGGATCAGTGTCTCATGCAATGCTATTGTATCACTCACAGCAATTGAGAAAGGTTTCGCCAGAAATGTTGAGTTTTGTTAAAGGAGACAATTGCAGAAGAAAAATTCTACGTCAGCTGTATGGTGACAAAAAACTGTTGAAGGTTGCAGATGTTGTGATGTTTGTAAACAAGACTGGAAACTGTATGGAATGTGCAAATCCATTTAAACTTAATATTGAGGGAGCAGAAGCAGAATCGGGATAAGAACGCTATGTTTCAGATGAAGATAGTCACCGGGTAGAGATAAATTTGTTGTCATTGAAGAATGAACTTGACAGGGAAGGATCTAGGTACAGTACAATTGGAAGCCATGGACTAACTAACAGTTGTATTAAATTATTGGTTGAAAAAGCAGCTTACATTTTTGATGTTGATACCATACTTGACAGTTTTGGAATTTTTCACAAAGATCTGGCACAAAAGATCTTAAGTGTATATTCAGCTGTGTTTGGTGATACTGATGAAGACTTTGAGTTTGAAGATGACAACTTGCAATGAGTGTAGAGAATTATTCATAGGTAAGTTTAAACATTGGTTAATTTTGATATTTTGAATTAAATCATACACGAAATGAATATAATAACAATACAAATCATATATGTTCAATACTTCAAGTATTGTTCAAGTATTACACATATTGTTTCCCTTTAAATTAATAAATCCCCCCCCCTTCCCAATGACATGACATTTTGTAGAATACCTTATTTTTACCTTACATAATGAAAGAGCAAGCCAATCAATATATTTTTATTTGAAAATAACAATGACACTCAAGCAATGTAAAATCATTATACATCCTGTATTTTTATATATAAGATATATTTATAATAATGAAAAATGCTTGATAATTGACTTGTTTCTCTAAGAAACATAATAAGACATATTTTTATAATTTTAATTAAGGGCCCGCTTTATAAAAAGCAAGCCCCCGAGGGAATTTAATGAAAACAATATGGTACACATAAATACAACAACAAATTTTTTAAACGTTTGCATGTCTGTTGTTGATTTCAATATGAAAGTTATGCTGTTTTACATCTTCTTTTATTATGTATTATATTGTTCATAATTCTTTTTTCAACAAAAATATCCTATTTCTTATTCCAACAAAAATATCTTTAACATAAAGGTCCGGTACATTGTAATTGTGGTTGTATACCACACTTTAAAGTTGTACTTTGCTCATCTTTGGGTAAAAAATATTTAGTGCATAAATTTATTGAAATCTAGGATATTCTCTCTGAATATGTAATACCTGATTAAGTTAATGTATAATCTATGTTTGGGCAGCTGTCTCTATTACTCATCAAATTAATTTGGTCTATTCTTATAAAATTTTATATATCTTTAATGCTATAAATTATTAATTATAATATTTAGATTGTATCATTTTTTGTTTGTTGAGTATACTTTGTATTGACTACTCAGTTACTGTTTTAGTACAAATACATGCATTTTTACACATCAGTTATGTATTTCAAAACAATTGCTACAGCATCACTTCAAGTATGTATTTTTAGTGTTCTTGATCACTTTGTCATTTTCTTAGTTGCATTCTATATTAAGACAGACTGTAATATAGTATATGTACCATGTACATGATTGTATTAAAACACAATTGCCATTGTAAAACATTTGTCAAGTAAATAATATTCTTTTACAATACAGTTTCATTCAGGATCATCTTTATAAAAGTCAACAGATATTTATATCGAATTCTGTATTACATCTTGTATGCTTAAAATCATTGATAACTTTGCACATAGTTACATTTTTGTTCAGTGCTCGATGTTACATTTCTTTCTGTGCTCGTTGTTTGTTTTTTTATCCATCCAGTCATTTAATTCAACAGAATTAAGTGATGTTAGCAAGTCACTGCTGAAATTGACAAAAGATGCATGTTCACGTCCAACTGTGAAATTAAAGATGTTTGCCGCATCAACAACAAAAGCTATATCAGACTCTCTCTTTGCTTTGGCATGCTTACCACTCTTCCCATGTTTACTTGTGGCCTTGTCATAAACTTCACACAGATCACGTAAATATTCTAAGCATTTAACCCATCTTCTACATCCTTCAAATGTTATGTTTGCTCCCATTTTCCTACTTTGGTCTTTCAACAAATGAACGTTAATTTCAACCAAATTGTCATTCGGTATAAGGTGACCAACACCTCGACCCATGTTAAAAGACATGTTCCTTTTGTATTCATAGGCTTCCTTTTCAGACAAGATAGATATGTAGTATGCAAGAACCCTCCACATCCATAACCTGTATTTAATATGATGCCTTGATGAAAATGAAGCATTTCATACTTAGCATTTCTGATCAGTCTGTTTCCATCTCCCATTTTATATGCATCCTCTGTATCCCTGAAAAGAAGACACACTTTCATGAAAGCTGATGCTACATTAAACACTCCATCATAAGATGAACTATTGCTGGAAGTATGTTGTGGAGGATTAGTGTTAATACTAGTATCATGCTTTTCTTTCAGATGTCTTTTTAGCCAGTGGAATTGTTTATATTTTTTTCACAGTTTTCATGTGGATATTTATATCTGCCTGTTAAATCTAAATTTGTAAGGCTATCCATTTGTGTTTGCATGTATTGTAACTTTTATGTCTTCTAAAATAGCTGGTACTTTTCCAGAGCCCTCCATTGTATAGATTTCTAATATATTTTTTGCCACACCATTTATCCACTCTAGCTGTTTTTCTGTAGATGTCTGTTCAATAAATGGTGGTATTTTGTTGTTGGAAAAGAATTTGAATCTTTCATTCCAAAATAGTGACATGTTGCTGCAATGATGTGACCAACTAAATATCATCTATGAAATTTTTGCACTGTCTATATGAATATGATGTCTAATTTCACATCCCTTCTATCTAAAAGACATTTCAGTTGATACAATGTCCCCTGCTCATTTACACTTGATGTTAAATAGAAACAATCAAATATGTATTTTAGTAAATTCATAAGTCGGTGTAATCCTTCAGGTCTATGTATAAACCCTAAAAGTTTATCACTTTCACTTTCTCCATTTATCATGTCCAGCTGTGCCTGATACGCTCTTTCATTTGTAAGGACATCACCCCCAAACACTTTCCTCTCAATAACATTTTTTTCATCAGCACATTCAATAGATGGAATACATCTTTTGTGCAGATCTGAAAGAATATCTATCATATCTTCATTTTTACTTTCATTCTTATCATACAGGTCAATTAAGAAATATTCAGATCTCTGCTTGTAGTTGTCAATATGTGGGTGTTCAATCATCTCAGGAACAACAGTTGAAAATTTTTCAAGGCATTTAAAGTTTTGAACCAGAACTTTTTGGACATGATCTGCAAAACATTCTTGCAGCTCATAGTTATCTTCAGCAGTTGGCAGAAATTCAGAACTTTTCACTTTGTTAATTGGTTTTTGTGGTCTTTCTGTGGATAGATTTATCCCCTTCACACGTAATTCAGCAGCTAATGTCAAAAACCAGTGGAAATCTTTGTTTTTTATCTTTACTCTGGTGTGATCTATTTACTCTTAAGTCACAATTATCACCATATATTTCTACATTTACTTTGATGGTCATCTCAGCGTTACACCTTTGTAGAAGATTTTCAGAAATTAATTATTTTTCTTTGTGTCAGCGACTTGTACTCCTATGCTTTCTGAATTGATATCCATTAATGTTCTTGATTCTGTATGATAATTCAACTGCATATCACTATTTTCAGGTATGTTAACCTTTATTTCTTCTGTGTTTTTACAGATCATCGTGATATCAGATACACTGGTTGTTAATGGTGGTGATGGTGTCATAAAATGCATAAAGGCATTGTTGAAAATTACGCTGGAAGAATTTAGCACAGGAATACTTGGAGGAAAAACACCATGTACATGTGGAAGAACTTCAGATTCAGGCATATTAGCATTTGTCTCAACAGACTCAATTATAGTGGACTATTTAACAATCACATTATTAGTTAGATTTTTATACACTAAATAGTTCTCTTACATGTTTCAATTTCAGTGACACATTTGTTGTAAACTGTTAATTTCGCCATCACTTGTTTATCATGTAATTTTGATATTTCCTGTTTTTTTAAGTAGACTGATTCTGTGCTTACACTTGCTCCTAGTCTACATAATCTGCCAATTGTTTCATCATTTGTGCCTCCATAATCAAGTAATAGACCAACAATATGGGCAATTGCAGACATTTTTTGGTTCCTACTTCTTAACAATAAAGAGCCTGCAAAGGCAATGCTTATTATGTGCTTAGGATCTAAATTACTTTTTGTAGAAACTGCCGAGGTCAGTATTTTCAGAAAAACTGGAGCCTTTGTTTTCCATTCCTCTATTACATTTGATAATTCAAAATTCAGTAATTGTGAAGCTTCTACATTTTGAAGGACAGAATCACCACTTATTTCACAAAGTTTTGTGCATTCTTTGTAGATAGAAGAAGATATCATGTCATATATTTCTTCCCTGTAAAAGAAATTGAAGAACTGGTGAAAATGTATCATGTATAATGTCACTGTAAAGTGTGTATGCGTATATTATTCTGTGTAAAAACAAATGTTCAGTACAGTTTAACATCATTTTCTTTCATTAAGAAATACTGAAAGGTAATTGGGGTTTGATAAATGAAAAAAAAAAAAAAAAAACATATTTCTGGAATTGAGTATAACTAGCTTTTTTTCTATTCATTTGCATTTCAGGTTTGGGAAAGGGTTGGTTTTGAATGGATAACGAGCCTTATGTTAGCCTCTTTTATTAAGGTGAATTATGCCTGGACTATAAATGTTATTGTAAACCTTAAAACAATGTATAAAGGTATTTTGCAGTTTTTATTTATTTATTATTATTATTTTTTTCTTTAAATAAGAAAAAAACTAGTTTTTGAATCGAAGACAAGTCACAGAAACTTTTAAATTGCTATGATATGCCAAAGAAGAAAAACTTAAAATAGATCATCATTCTGCGCTGATTTGCTTTAAAGCTGCACGCCTCCAGATGAGTAAAACTATTTCGATAAAATCAAATCTGAGAAAAATGTACTAAGTTTAGGAAAAGTAAAAAGATTCAAAATTCTAGTAATAATTTACATGTTATGTGCGATTTATGACCGATTTTTCAGTATTTATAACTATATTTCTACTGCGTTACTAACGCAGTAAGGGATATTTTTGCATATTTTGACCTATTCATGGAAATTCACATGGGTTGTAAGTGCCATTGATAATGTGTAAATTGCATTCTTTTGGTAAATTCACAATATAATACTGTTTAAATAAATTTTCATGAAAATTAGCATGAATCTGGAGGCGTGATGCTTTAAAGTAAGATTTCTGTAAAAAGGCAAAAAAAAAAAAATGCAAAATGCTAACCTTTTTTTAAAATGAATGCATAATGTTCTATTTTAACCTTGCTTTACAAATAGAAAGTCCATAGTTCTGTGCAGCAGCCGAAAACAAAACATTTTTTTCAAGATTTGTATGATTGCACAATACTAGGCAAAACATTTTGTTGAACATTTGTTTATTTGCACAATACTTGTATAGTATCTGGTACATATAATTATGCATACATAATATTTACCTCAATCCATCATCATGTAGTACAGCAGATGCTAAATGTTTTGGTCTTTCTTCTATCATTGATTTGCTATTTTTAAATATGTTTGGTTTTTGTCTAGGACCTTCTTTTCTTTGACTTTGGAAAATTGTATATGACCTAAAAAATGTTTAAGAAAGCTTAGTTTTTCATGGAAGACTGTCTTTTATGTAATTTTTAACCCATTTGAAAGTACGGTGCTATTTCAGTTAAATATATTTCATATTTTTTTCACCGTCCCGGCTCATGAAAATATGTGGCATTTTATAGAAATGAGTGAAAAAAAATCCATATTTTAATAACAATAAATAAATAAAATATCCACTTAATATCTGCATAAAAGTAAGAAAAAATATTATATATTCCCTTATTTTTAGTGAAAAAAGCTTTCACTAAAACAGATGCATGTTGTGTCATGCGCACTCAATACTTACTGGTTAAAGTAACCAGGAAGTATTGAGTGCGCATGACACAACATGTATCTGTTTTTTTTACAAATTCAGAAATTAACATTGTTACTTCGACTTAAAACCAGCTTTTGAATACACCATTTTTGGTAATTGTATTTAAGAGAGATTAAAATTTGTATGTGGCCCAAGTGTACACAATTTATAGCTATACCTTCATAATGTATGTTTAACACCCCTTTAAAGTTGCATATGTACGTAAGATGTGCTTAAGAAAATTATTAAATTAGAAATAATTGTTGTTGATGTACACTTTACATTATACTTTCATTTTTATGCTCCCCAAAAGGGTGAGCATATAGTCGCCGCTTTGTCCATCCGTCTGTCTGTCATCCATACAAACGCATAGGTACTTGTGTGACTTGGAGAAATAGGTAACAGTAAATTCTATTTGATCCTATTCATTCCGTTTTTACTTGTGTTTTTTTTAAAGCCTTGTGTGACTTAAATGGCTAAAAAAGATCAAATGAAAAGTCACAGAAGTACCATTTCGTAAAAGTACGGCGTCCGCCCTCTATCTTTTGTAAGGGACATAACTTTGAAATCAACATAAAACTTTGTAGGTAGATAGATTCATTGAGTAGAAGTGCAGTGCAAAAGAACCAGAACTCTGTCCTGACTTATTTATTGCCGTTTTGTTTCATTTTTACACTTTGGACTTTGTCCAGGAGCGTAAGAGATATCAATCATAAAATTTGTGGAAGAATGATCTCATTTAAACACAGTGCAGTGCAAAATAACCTTAACTTTGCTTTACTCATTTTTTGAGTTATTTGGGCTTTGTTCATTTTTGAAACTTTGAACTTTGTCAGTGACATAACTCTGACATAGAAGGGGTTATTTACCTGTGTTCAAATCTATTCGGAGGACATCACCCGGTCCAAGGTTTTGTTTTGAATATATTGTTTTTACTGATTTCTTTAAAGATTATACTGATTTTCAACATTAAAATATCATTGACATAAATTCTGTTAGATGTATCACAGGTTTGTAAGGCGTATTTTCTTCCTAGGCCAATTTTTCTCCCTAAATTAAAAAAACGTTTTTTAAACTTATATTTGATCAGTTAACTATTTTCATATTGATAGAAATTCTGCCATTTTTTTACATTTGGGAGAACCCTTGGGATTTTGGTAACTTTAGATGGTTTTAGAATTTTATAATGAGAAATGATTTAGGGAACGATTGGGAATTTGTATTGAGGCCGGGGTACGACAAAAAACCAAAATGGGGTTTGGGCGACGAGCATGGGGATCCCAGACCAGCACTGCGCATGTCCGCGGGGCAGTCTTGAGTCAGGATCCATGCTGGTCGCTTACAAACCTAATAACAGTAGAGGGAAATGATAGGAACAGCATGGATCCTGATCAGAGACTGGGGCGCGGATGGCGCAGGTGGTCTGGGGATCCATGCTGGGGTCGCAAACCCATTATTGTTGGTTTTGGGTTGGTGAAGCGGCTCATATATTGGTTTAGTAATGTTTTCGTCCTCTACTGATTTTAGTTTGCAGGGCTTTTTTGTTCACCTGAAAGTTTTACATATTATGGGTACCAAATTTTACTGTCAAGGGCATTATATTTACCAGCATAACGGGTCGGGTTCCTATGAGTTATAACAACCCTGATTCAAATAGGTCATCAAACATTTACAATGGTTTGACTGCAAAAACAATTGTTTTGGTTCACTGGATTTTTTGGTTTATGAATAAAATTGAAAGATAAAATATTGAAATGTCTTTTGTGTAGGAAAGTTATCAATTTTGGACAAGTTTTTAAGCTTCATTTTATCCATGTAGGTTATGGGTGGTAGTTGGGTTTATCAAGGGTCAGGGTTTGGAAAATGGAGCAGGTTGTTGCTTTCTTAAGGAACAAAAAAAAAACATTTCAGAAATGTATCTTTGAAGTGACATGCAGCCAAAGAAAACTCACAAAATAGGGTTTTTTTAATGCAACCATTATTGGGATGTTTTGGCAGAGTTATTGCCCCTTAAATTAATGCCAAGTTTTTTCTGCTTGTGGTGAAACCAAAAGAATAATTTGGGGGTAATCTGTCAAAATTTTTGGAGATTATTAACAATAATTAATTGGGGGAACATTATTTTTGGGGATTTGAAGTTTTTAACTAAGAATACATGTTTTAACTGCTTATGTTTAATGCACCAGCAATTTGTAAAGGGGGGATTTTTTTTGGGTCAGTTGGGGGGGGGAAAAAATATGGGGGGGTTTTTGCACATGTTTTAACTGGTTACCTCTTTTCCCTTTTTGTTTTGTTATTTTGAAGATTAAGAAATTATTTATGCTATAGATTTTTAAAATCAAATGTGATATCTGTGATAAATACATTGTAAGTTCATTTGCGTGGACTAAATTGGTACATTTATGTCTTGACATTTAGGCATAAAATAATTGATAGACACTTATCACTGCTTATTGTTTTTTCTTTTTA